ATCTATCTATCTATCTATCTATCTGTCTATCTATCTATCTATCTATCTATCTACCTATCTATCTACCTACCTATCTGAATGTGTACAACAGAGTTTTGAGCAAAGCTTTTACCAGTGAACGATACAAAAAGTCTCAAACCCAAAACACTTCAGAAACCGTGTGTATAAAACACGACCCATGGTGCTTTATAGGTCCTAACCCCCCCCTCCCCCCCCCGGGCCCCACCGGTGCAGCTGGGCAGGTTGCAGTGCTCCCAGCGGGTGTCGGGGTCGGTGGTGTAGCACCAGGGCCCCCCCCGGTCCGCGTCCGGGTTCCGGCAGTAGTTGGACTCCAGGTCGGCCCGGGGGTGGCTCTGCGGCGTGATGCTGAAACGAAAGAGGGTCACACCAAACACAACACTTTCATTTAAAAAACACATCAAAAACACCGCAAACACAATTCGATTTAATATACGTAACTTTAAGCAAATCAGATCATCGATGACAATCAGTTCTGCTAAAATGTTCCTACACTCAATGATATTTTCACACATAGACGACCGCATCACAACCTACTCACTCACTGGAGACACAACTTTAAAACCAATAGAAATATTATTAACACTGCAAACACAATTGAATTGAATATACACAACTTTAAGCAAATCAGATCATCGATGACAATCAGTTCTGATAAAATGTTCCTACACTCAATGATATTTTCACACATAAACTACTGCATCACAACCTACTCACTCACTGGAGACACAACTTTAAAACCAATAGAAAAATATTATTAAAAAAATCTTTAAAAATCTTTGATCAAAAGCCCCTGTCATTCCGTCAATGTAATATTTTGGAAAAATATAATATGCTCAGTTTTGAAAACTTTATTCATTGTAAAAATAGTTGTTTAATTTACAAAGTTCTGAATGGATTAGCCCCACCTCCACTTTCTACCTACATTAGACCTGGTAGACTCTGGAGCAGCCTCCCAACAAATATCAGGGAATATCCCACTTTTTACACATTTAAAAAGCACCTTAAACTGTTTCTCAAAAGTTCCCAGACATGCAATCACTAATTTTAATTTTGTAATGTCATTGTCTGAACGTGTGTTTGGACTGATTTTGTATTTTGTGATTTTTTGTTGGTTTGTCTTCCTACCGACAAATGCGAATTAGCAACTATGCTAGAATTTACAATCTGTATGAGATTGTTCATTAATGTGCACTGTACTGATTAAATAAATAAATAAATGAATTAAATAAGTAAAGGAAAATAGGACGGGGGGGGGCGGTGTGTGGTTACCATGACGGCGAACCTACTTGGGCTTGTGGGGGAACCTTGCCTCCCATCTCTGACACCCCTTTCCCGTTTTCGTTCTGGACTTTGTTCCTCTGTAATCTGTTCCTATCCCGTTTACGCACTCCAGGAGATATTCTGGACGGAAAAAAAGGAATAAATACAAAGAGAAAAAGTCAAGTCTGAACTTGCAAACGTCATGTTTAAAGTATAAAACCGGTCATGGTGAATTGTGGGACGATCGTCTTCAAATAGCTCGTGAAGATGCTGCAGGAAAAACTCTGAACTTGGTCGAACAAAAAGAGAATTTTAATGTCAGCCAGGTCCGAAATCAAACATACAGATTGATGCATCAGGTCTGGAGAGGTCAGAGAAAAACTTTGTCCTTCTCTGGGTGTGTCCGCCCTTATATTTGGTATTCCCGTATCTGTACTTTTTGTCTTATGTCAGGCTGTTTTCATCCAGGAGTGGAGCCCAAATATGGTTTTATCCATATCATAAACATTTCCTTTTTTGGTCCTGCATACATATATAATATACTATATTTCATCCATAGCTTGAGCATCCTCCCTTCACTCTACTTAAGGAATGTCCATCCATCCATTATCATAACCCCTTATTCTCTAATCCAGAAGTAGCCGGTTCAAATCCGGTTCAAAATTCTTCTGGATCTTATTCTCTGGTTGAAAGGTTCTGGTTCCCCCGAGGACTCCAACCCAAAACTTTTTTGCTGTGAGGTGATGGTGCTAACCCTAACCCTAACCCCAACTCTAACCCCCACAGCATCATGCCGCCCACTTTAGGAATGTGTTTTCTCCAATGTTTATGCTCTACGAACAGAACAGTCTGAGCTTCAGACCAAACGGCAGCTGCAGAAAAAAACAAATCTTGCTGTTTTTTTAAACTTTCTCTTCCCTTGTCACTGTGTAAATAACTATACATTAAGGTCAACAAGATGACGTAAAAATGACAACTGTACCGATCCCGTGTCAAGTCTCGCCTCATTCTTTTAAAATTGTCTGACGTTAGTCCCCTCCTGTCCACCATCCACATGTACATGTCCCACTTTGAACATGCATACACAGCATTGACAGACAAATAAACTGGCACCAGCAAACTGCTTTCTCACCGTTTTTGTCGTACAAAGCTGAGCTGCGTCTCCGCAGGATGTCCTCCGTTTTGGAGTTGGAGGCGGCCGTCCAGCACTCCTGATCCTTCTCCACGTACATGAAGGACCTGCACAGAGGGCTCAGCATCAGGGGGGTCAGGGTTAGGGTCAGGGTTAGGGTTAGGGTTAGGGTTTGGGGGCGACTCACTTGCAGGTGAAGGAGGTTTCCGTGTTGCATTTCTCGGCGCACTCGGCCGCGTTGGTCACCATGTACTGCCGTTTGTTCAGGGAAATGACCCAGGCCCCTTCGGTTTTGGAGTAGCCCTCCACCTCCGTGCCCCCCACTGCAATCAGGGAGTCAATTACAGCCCAATATGCAAATAAATAACTTAAAGTAATTAACTCATTGGCTGCCAAAGATGTCTATAGACGTCTTTTATGTATTTTAACGAGAGTGGCTGGGGGACGATCTGCTAAAGCTTGTCCGTAAATATCGGCTTCTAGACAGAGTATGTAGTAACAAATTGACCCTCTAGGGGGCAGTGCCACTTTTGATGGGAGATGAGCATAGACTGTAGGCAAATAAGAAAAAGGGAACGGTTCTATGAGAGAACATGTCGCCGGTGAGACGCAAGTCCAGGAAGAACGGAATAAGGTAGAAACACATTTTTTTTCCTGATGAAAGAAGAGAGTCTACTCTTTCTTTTGGTGTGTTCGGTGTTTACATAGTCATAGCACAAACTATTCTGTGGCTCTTGAAAAATCAGTCAAAATGCTCAAAAAACTCTGGCAGTATGGGACTCTGTTCTGAAAATGGCTGGCAGTCAATGAGTTAATGACATATTAAACATTGGTACAGTGAGTCCATTTTGTCTGTTGTGTTACTTTTGGACATTTCCACCATTCAGGACATGGGTCAGACCATCATATT